CGGGGTGGAGCGGCCCGCTCCCGGGCTCCGCCTCCCGCTCCTCCTCCGCCTCCTCCCCTTCCCTGACTCGCCCCTGGGGAGGGGTGGGTGGGTGGAGATTATGGACCGGTGGCGGAGTCACTGTCGCTTCAGCCAGGCTGTGGAGCGGACGGACGCGCCCGGTATCCCGGGCGGGGGCTCCACTTGGGTAGGAGGAGGTGGAGGGGAAGAGACGCTCTCCCTGCCCTCAGCCTTTCAAAGCTCTGACCCCAAGGGCTAGGAGACTGACACGAGAGGAGAGCTAAAGTCTTCCTCCTCAGCTGCCTGAAGAGGCCGCGACCCTGGAGGGCCCTGAGCCCACCGCACCAGGGGTGCGCCTCAGTTGCCTAAAGCAAGCCTCAGTGACCATTGCAAGGCCTCCAGTTGCCTAGACAACGAGCTCAGGGTCACAGCAACGACCCTTCCAGCCACCTGCCTCGACTGCTGCCTCAGGCACTAGTCCCAGCCCAGCGGGTGCCAGCCAGGTGACATGTCGGTGCTCTCCACCCCCCGGCCTTCGAGGGTGACCACGCTGAAGCGCACAGCCGTGGTCCTGGCCCTCACCGCCTATGGAGCCCACAAAATCTACCCGCTGGTGCGGCAGTGCCTGGCTCCGGCCAGGGGCCCTCCGAGGCCGGCAGGGGAGCCCACGCAGGAGGCGTCTGGGGCAGCAGCCGCAGCAGCCAAGGCCAGTGTGAACCGGGTGTTCCTGCAGCGACTCCTGTGGCTCCTGCGCCTGCTCTTCCCCCGGGTCCTGTGCCGGGAGACGGGGCTGCTGGCGCTGCACTCGGCCGCCCTGGTGAGCCGGACTTTCCTGTCGGTCTATGTGGCCCGCCTCGACGGACGTTTGGCCCGCTGCATCGTCCGCAAGGACCCGCGGGCCTTCGGGTGGCAGCTCCTACAGTGGCTCCTCATTGCCCTACCTGCCACTTTCATCAACAGTGCCATCCGCTACCTAGAGGGCCAGCTGGCCCTGTCCTTCCGCAGCCGTCTGGTGGCCCACGCTTACAGCCTCTACTTCTCCCAGCAGACCTACTACCGAGTCAGCAACATGGACGGGCGCCTTCGCAACCCTGACCAGTCCCTGACGGAAGATGTGGTGGCCTTTGCTGCCTCTGTGGCCCACCTCTACTCCAACCTGACCAAACCACTCCTGGACGTGGCCGTGACCGCCTACACCCTGCTTCGGGCAGCCCGCTCCCGCGGGGCCGGCACGGCCTGGCCCTTGGCCATCGCCGGCCTTGTGGTGTTCCTCACGGCCAACGTGCTGCGGACCTTCTCGCCCAAGTTCGGGGAGCTAGTCGCAGAGGAGGCACGGAGGAAGGGGGAGCTGCGCTACATGCACTCTCGTGTGGTGGCCAACTCGGAGGAGATCGCTTTCTACGGGGGCCACGAGGTGGGGCAGATTGGGGCACTGGGAGGCATGGAGGAAGGCCCGGGTGGGGGCACAGGGCCGATGGAAGAGGGGGCTGAGGATGGGTAGGGCCCTGGGCTGCAAGGAGAAGCCGGAAGGCCGGTTGGGGTTGTCCGGTGCCAGCCGCCTGCACACTCCAGGCCACTTCTGCTTCCTCCCTCCTGGGCGCCACTGGCTGGCCTTGGGTTGTGGATCCTAGCAGTTCGGATCCAGAACTGCCTCGCCCACTCCAGCAGCCCACTGGGGCGGTGGCGACCCCTGCCATCTGGGAGCGGGACGAGTGGATGCGCGGCCTCCTGGCCAGCCTCTCGGCCCTTTGAAGGCCGGCCTGGGGCCCGCGTCCGGCGGCTGGGCATTATGGGCATGACTCAGCCCACGCAGAGGTTAACAAGCAGTGCCCAGCGCGGCAGTCGCGGCGCTTAGGGTCACAGCCGCCCCCACGGGCCCGGCGCCCCAGCTGCCGCTGCAGCGGGACGCACTTCCTGCCGGCCTGCCCCCGGCGTGGCCGCCCTTCCGCCTGGCCCCCAGGCACAGCTTCCTGGGCGGCCAGCCCGAGGCGGGCGCGGCGAGGTTACTCCCGGCCAGCTCCCTTTATCTCACCTCGCCCCTCCCCTTCCTCGTGCTTGAGGTTGCGGCTGCCTCGGGCCCTGTTCTCTGCGACTCTGGTTTCGGTTCTCCCGGGGGGAGGGGCGCGGTGGCCTCTGTCCCTTGAAGGCCTGCGTGTATTCCCAGGGCCCCGACTTTGTCTCGGTGGCGTTGCACTGGGTACAGGAGCGGACTCGTCCTGGACCAAAACGGCTTGTCCTCAACCTCCTCTACTGATCAGGGGAACAAGTGCCCAGCATTGGGCTGTGACCCCCTCTTGCCTGCTTCTCCCTCCTCCATGCAGGCTGGCCACGCCTTGGCAGGCAGCTGTGGCCTGGGGTGAGGTGCTTGGCACATTCCCTGCGGCTACATTATCGGCCCTGGCTGGCACGATTGCCAGGGTGCTGGGAAGATGCGGGCTCGATGCGGGCTGGGCTCGTTTCGGAACGGGAGACTCAGCCCAAGGCCCTGGGTGGGGGTGGGCAGGAGAGACATTTGAAGGACTTCGTCTTTAATACACAGAGTTCATCTGGGGGCCTGCTTGCCTGGGTGGGATGAGGAGCTGTGGGGGGTGACAGGCCACAGAGTGGGCTGAACGCGCTGGCTGTGCACACATGTGTCGCACCCCAGCCTCACTGGCTGATGTCTCCGTGGACACTGGCCCCAGGCTCAGATCTCCAGGTAGGGCAAAAGCAACTGGCTGGCTAGTGGAGGGCTCTGCAGCAGGGCATTCTGTTCTTATTGCGACTTCAGTGGAGAGGCCGTTTCCACACACACCGTCTCATCTGCCTGAGAACAACTAAAAGAATCTCTTTCTCCTAAGGGATCTGGCAACCAAAAACCAAACCCGTTGCCATCGAGTCGATTTCAACTCATAGTGATCTTATCAGACAGAGTAGAACTGCCGACCTTTTGGTTACCATAGCTCTTAATACTACGCCACCAGGGTTTCCAAGAGCTCTGGCACTGTGGTTCAAATTCCAGCAGTGCTTGCTCCTCCACGCTGTGTGACCTTGGGCAGGGCACTTTGCCTCTCTGGGCTTCATTGGCCTACATTGAGCACATTCAGTGGGACAGTGCAAAAATCTAATGGAGAGCCAGGTCTGAAAGCACTTGGAAAGGGAGCCAGGCTGGGCAGTTGTTGGTTGGGTGTGGAAAGGCCAGGCTGGGCATCCAGGAGGTCCCTGTACTGAGCCAAGAAGTCCACGACCCAATGGCTCCCTTGCCATGAGCACTTCCGGAGACATCCGTGCCTCTACAGTGTATTGGTCAGCTGCTGCCACGAGGAACTCTCTTCCTCTCTCCGCCCTCTCTCCTGTTTTCTCTTTTCCAGGCCCTGCAGGACCCACCCACTGAGGCCCCTTCCCCCCACCCTGTCCCCACCCTGAGATGGCAGGTTATGGCCAGTGCAGGAATGGGAGGGGAGGCCCCACACCACCGCCCAGCAGCTGGCCTGAGGCAGAGGGCTGTGGGCTTGGGGCAGTCCAAGGGACTGGCTGGGCAGCGCACCCTCGTGACTGTGGTGGGAAAATGCAGTATACGCTTCTGTCCGCCAGGAACCCTGGAAAAGTAGGCTGGCAGGGTGGTGCCTAGGCAGGGAGAGACTGGGCTCAAGGTTCTCAAAACCAAGATGCTACCAGTGCCTCTGCTTTCGGTCTCCGTGCCTGGGCTCCGGGGGCAGGAGGGGGGTGTTGGGAGGGAGCCCCCCAAATGATTGCCCAGAGAATGGGCTCCCCAGCTCTGGTCGGGGTGAGTTCCTTCCTCACCACCGCTGTGCCCCAGTGTTGGAAACTTGGGCAGGCCCTTGGCCCTGGATTCAGACCCATTCTCTGTAAACACAGTCTGATCGTAAGCCTTGTGGGGACCATCGAGTGGCGTGGCCCGTGTGAGCGGCCCTCTGGGCTGTCACCTGGCCCGGCCGTTCTCACAAGCCCGCCCACTGGCTCTCTGGTGGCCCGCAGGTGGAGCTGGCCCTGCTGCAGCACTCCTACGAGGAGCTGGCCTCCCAGATCAACCTCATCCTGCTGGAGCGCCTGTGGTACGTCATGCTAGAGCAGTTCCTCATGAAGTATGTCTGGAGCGCCTCGGGCCTACTCATGGTGGCTGTCCCCATCATCACCGCCACTGGCTACTCAGAGTCAGGTGAGAGCCAGGCTCCGGGCAAGGCTGGGGACAGTGAGCCCTGCCGGTCCTCCGGTCAGCTCCTCCGTGCCTTTCCCTCTGCGCGCACCTCCCCTTCATGGAGCCACTCAGCCAGGCCCAGGGACCGCATCTCAGGGTGTCCCTTCACTACCCACATGCACCCTTGCTCCCGTGTCCCTGCCTTTGTCCCAACTGCCACTTGAACATGGGAGGATTGAGCAGGTAAAGCAGCACTGCCTAACGTGCCTTCGGAGCTGGCCTTCGGTTTCCCATCCACAGGTTGCAAAGGGAAGTGGCCTGGCCAGAAGGCCTTGCGGGAGGGGATGCCCGATCTGCCTCTTGTCTTAGCTGTTGGGGTTTCTTTACTCCATTTTGTCTCTCTCCTGGTCTGAAAGGTATATATTCTGTTTTTAGTCTTTAGCAGTTACTGTTAAAATGTCACCATGCGTTCTTGAGGAGAAGCTTAGGTTAACCGATAGCTCCCCTCATCCTTAGAACGCTTTACTCCAAGAACCAGTCCCCCTCTCACGTGGTGGTGGGGCCCCAGGTGAAGTTTGGGTGCCCCTTGTTTTGAGACTCTGCTGTTGTTTTATCCAGTCTGTGCTTATTCAAATTCACCCACGTTTACCAATTTCTTTGCCACCGTTCTTTTGGTGTGTCTCAGTCGTCTCGTCTGTGTTCAGTTACCTTCTAGATATACATCCTTCGAGCATGTTCTCTCAGCATGGTTGCATCTGAGGAAATGCAATTTTCTTGTTGTCTGAGATTGTCTTTATTTCACCAATATTTCCAAATCGGAATTTAGCTGAGTGTTGAAGTTGAGACTAACAGTTATTTTCTCTCAGCCCTTTGACAATATGTCATCAGCTTCTCGATTCTGTAGCTGATGAGAAACGTTAGCAGTTGAATTGTCCTTCCCTTGTAATCTGTATTTGCTCTCTGGTGCTTTTATGATCTTCTTTGTCTTTGTCTGCAGCGTTCGGCAGTTTCACTAAGATGTGTGTTTCTGTTTATCCGGCTTGAGACTTGGATGTTCTTTAAATATTCAGGGTTTTCAAGCCTTCTGGAAAATTCTCACTTCCATTCTCTTACTCCCTCCTCCTGAAACTCCTGCTAGACCTATGTGCTGGACCTCTCGCTCTGTTCTTGGTGTCTCTTCATGTCCCTTTACTATTTCCCATCTGGCACTATCTGTGCTGAATTCAGGGAGATGTCTGTAAATGAGCTTTCTGCTCGCTAATTCACCAATTTTCTCTTCCGCTGTGTCCACTTTGAGTTTTTAAAATTTCAGTGAAAGGAGCCCTGGTGGCACAGTGGTTTAGGTGCTCAGCTGCTAACTGAAAGGTTGGCGGTTCAAACCCACCAGCCGCTCTTCGGGAGAAAGATGTAGCAGTCTGCTTCTGTAAAGATTCCCACTGCTGTCGATTCCGACTCTTAGTGACTCTGAGGGACAGAGTAGAACTGCCCCATAGGGTTTCCAAGGCTGTAAATCTTCATGGAAGCAGACTGCCACATCTTTCTCCCACGGAGCGGCTGGGGGGTTGGAACCGTCGACTTTTCAGTTAGCAGGTAGCACTTTAACCACTGTGCCATCAAGGCTCCTCTGTAAAGATTACAGCCTTGGAAACCCTATGGGGTAGTTCTTCTCTGTCCTATAGGTTGGTATGGATCGAAATTGACTCGATGGCCATGAGTATTTATTTCTATAAGGTCAATTTAATTCCTTCTCAAATATGCCTGGTTTTTTTGGGTGTGTGTGTCTTATTTTCTCATCTTTTTGATAGCCTCTTTCATACTTCGTATTGTGTTAATTATACTCCTTCCATAGTCTCTATCCAACTATTTGGTGATCTTAAGTTCTTGGGCGTCTCTGCTGGCCTTCACTCTCGATAAGTTGCTTCCTTGTGTCTTTTCCAATCCTGTGTGGCCTAAATGGTGGGTGTGATTCACCAATAAATTTTTGCTTTTGTTTTAGCCAAGCACCGAAGGGGTAATGAAGAGTCTGAGGTCATTTTCACATTAATTTCTCAGCTGAGGAGGTTCCTCGATTTGGAGATAGTATTAATTTGAACCCCAAATACATAAGGGAAGAGGCTTTTAATTACACATTTGCAGAAGAAACTTCTTGTTCCCTCCACCCGGAGCCCAGGTTTAAGCTAATGAAGCATCCTTGTCCCCTCCTGTCTGTAGATTTCAGAGCATCCATTCTTTCTGGTTGCTTCTCTTTCTGCCCTCACTTCCCTTCGAGCAGAACACTGCTTTAGAAAGATGTTTGTTGTCTTTAACCAGTTTGGTGTTAAATATATAGATAGTCTGGCTTTTTCCAGATTCTCTCTGTTGGCGTCTTCACCTTGGGCTTCTGTGTCACTCAGCTGTCCGTGTTCCTCTCTGTGTGACTCCCTACCCACCCCCACCCCCGGGGAAGGATCACATTGGGCCTGCACACAAAGGGTGGCCTTGCCTCAGGTGTGGCATGGGGACTGGCATTGGTACATCACGGCCTGCCTAGGGCACCAGCCACCCCTACCCTAGAAGGCCTGGGGTGTTCTGGAGTCTCCACTGGGCCAGGCTTTGTGGGAGAGTCAAAGAAGCCTGTGATCCAGCCCTGCGTACGTGGCCCTCCTAGTTGATGACCTTCAAAAAGCTGGAAAGCTCATGTTCCCTCTGCCTGCTGAGGTCTTACTGGCCTCCTTGTTATGCCCTCAAAACCCCAGGTATGCTTCTGCCTCAGGGCCTTTGCACATGCTTCTGGCTCTGCCAGGAATGCCGTTTCATCCGACCTCTCTCTCTCTGAGCCTTGCTCACCTCTGCCCTCTCATGAGGCCTGCCCTGACCACCACCCCACCTTCTACTCCCCGGCACTGATCACCATGGAACACCCCAGCTCTTTCACATCTCTGTCTGGTTTCTCTTCTCTCTCCCTCCCTTAGACTGTGAGCTCCATGAGGGCAGGAAGTTTTGTCTGTTTGGGCCCTGCTATGTCCCCAGTGCCTGGTGGCTAGCGAGGGCACCAGGCACTCCAGGGAGGCTGAGAGTGCTGTGGGCTGGTGAGAAGGGTTGGTTTTCTGAGGGGATGGTGAGGAGGCAGGCACTTGTCAACGTGGGGAGATTTCAGTCAGGCTTGTCCTCCTGAACCCAGGACTCCAGTGGCTTGTGCTTGTTGGCCTCAAAGGCTGGAGGGCCCAGGAAGATGGCGGGACCTATGGCTCCCAGCTCCAGCCCAGTGGCCTTGCTGGGAATGGCCACCACGTCTCCAGCAAATGGCCGCCAGGTCTCCAGCTCCAGGTTCCTGCTCTTAGTTGCCTGGGGCTCCTGGGACCCTGCAGAGAGCAGGAGAGTGCCAGTACCCGCCAGCATGCACGGGGCCAAGATGGCACACCTTGCGCTTTGTCCCCAGTGACTGTCCAGCTAAGGACAGCAGGGGAGGAGGGCTGTGTACCCTCTGCCTGTTGGAGGCTGTGTCCCTGAAGGTAGGTGGGAGGGAAGGCCTAGGCCTTTCGACTGCCAGGACTAACCCCCTTGCCACTGCCACCACTCATGTGCCAGATTGTGAGGCCCTCTGTCCACTGTCCTGCCCTTTCCACCCCACTCTGTAGGCCATCTGCCCTGAGCTGACTTCCCTGTCCCTCCCCTCCTCGCCCCCGGGGGTCCCCCTGCAGGTCTGTCTCGGAACCTTCCTGCCTCCCATGAGGACAAGCACTGCTCACTTGTCCACACCGAAGGACCCTCGGAGTTGGCCTCCCATGAGGACAAGCACTGCTCCATTGTCCACACCCCAGGACCCTTGGAGTTGGCCTCCTCCTTGCTCCCCATTGCATTTCCTGAACATTCCTTGTGGGAAAACCCTGCTTCTTTGGGGCTCTGAGGGCCAAGGAAGTCAAGGCGATGGACGAGAAAGGGGTGAAGCGAGGGACCCTGGGATCTAGGTGGGTTGTAAAAGCAAGTAAGGAGGGGATGAGGGAGAAGTGGGAGACAGCAGCTGACGGGCAGAAAGCGGGAAGCTTGCATTTGAGAGGCCCAGTATGACAAGTCCAGGTGGGATGACAGCCCAAGTGTGATCCCGGGAGGAGCTGGCGGCGGCAGCGCAGGACGGAGGCGGGCCATGCCAGTGCAGGGGGCTGGTCGTGCCCGGAGACAAAGCCAGATGCCCACTGGCTTGTTATTTTAAACAGTTTTACTGCAATGGAATTCATATATCATACAATTCCCCTGTTTATAAAGTGTACAATTCAGGGGTCTTCAGGATAGCCACAGAGTTATCACCACTGTCTAATTCCAGAACGTTTTCATCGCCCTAAAAGAGGAACCCTGTGTTCATTAGCAGTCATCCCCTACGCCTCCCTCCCCCAGCCCTAGGCAACCACTCACCCATTTTCTGTGTTTCCGGAATTGTCTGTTCCAGACATTTCACAGAAATGGAATCACACAACAGGCAGCCTTTTGCATCTGGCTTCTTTTCACTGAGCGTCGTGTTCCCGAGGTTCATGGCGTGGCATGCATCGGGACTTGGTTCCTGGTCACGGCTGGGTGATACTCCATCGTATGCATGCACCACATTCTGTTTCTCCTTCTGTTGTTGGGCACTCGGGTTCCCCACCTTTTGGCTATTGTGGACAACGCTGCAATGAACGTCCACGTACAAGTGTTTCTCGGCATACCTGTTTTCAGTTCTTCTGAGGATATACCCAGGAGTGGGATTGCTGGGTCATATACTAATTCTGTATTTAACACTGCCAGACTGTTTTCCAGAGACTGCACCATTTTATGTTCCCACTGGCAATACATGAAGGTTCCAATTTCTCCACGTCTTCCACAAGACTTGTTATTATCTGTTTTTGTTTTTTTTTTTAATACAATCGCCATCGTAGTGGGTGTGAAGGGGTATCTCACTGTGGTTTTGATTTGTGTTTCCCCAGTGACTAATGACTAATGTTGAACATCTTTTCATGTGCTTAATGGCCATTTGTATGTCTTCTTTGGAGAGATGTCTGTTCAGATCCTTTGCCCACTTTTTAATTGGCTTATTTGTTTATTGTTGAGTTGTAAGAGTTCTTCACATATTCTGAATACTAGATCCTCATAAAATGTATAGTTTGCAAATAATTTCTCCCAGTCTGTGGGCTGTCTTTTTACTTTACTGATGGTGTCCTTTGAAAGACAAAAGTTTTCAATTTTTATGAACTCCATTTTATCTAGTTTTGCTTTTGTTGCTTGTAAATTGGGTGTTCAATCTAAGAAGACATTGTCAAACCCAAGGTCATGAAGATTTACTCCTATGATTTCTTGTAAGACTATTATAGTCTTAGCTCTTACATTTAGGCTTCCGATCCATTTTAAGTTAATTTTTGTATATGGTGTGAGGTAGGGATCCCATTTCACTTTTTTGTACGTAGAGATCCAGTTTTCCCAGCACCATGGGTTGGAAAGACCATTCTTTCTCCATCGTGGCTCATTTTGGACTTGCCATTGTCTCTGCCCCTTCCCTTCTTTGCCCTCAGTAGACTCGGAGGCAGTGAGAAAGGCTGCCTTGGAGAAGAAAGAAGAGGAGCTGGTGAGTGAACGCACTGAAGCCTTCACCATCGCCCGCAATCTCCTCACGGCTGCTGCGGACGCTATTGAGCGTATCATGTCATCATACAAGGAGGTACGTGTGGCCTAGCCCCTGCCCTCCCATTCCCCTCTCCTCCTCACTGGCAGGGACTGAGCCAGGGTGACCCTACCCACAGGTGACAGAGCTGGCTGGCTACACAGCCCGGGTTCATGAGATGTTCCAGGTTTTCGAAGACGTCCAGCACTGTCATTTTAAGAGGCCTGGGGAGCCAGAGGATGCCCCAGTGGGTCCTGGGGCTGTTGTGAGCCCTGGTGTTCGTGTGGAGGGGCCCCTGAAGATCCGAGGTAAGAGCTCCCCTCCCCAGAGTGCCTCTTCTTGTCCTGGCCCCGCCAACTTGCTGCCGAGCTCCTCCTCCCCTCCTGCCCCTCCCGGCAGTCCCTGCCTCAGCTCAGACACTTGGGGTATGGCCCCCCACCCCATCTCAGCCCACTAGGGAGGGGAGGGCTGGCTGGCAGGCTCTTGGAGGACTTCCCCTGCATTGAGCTTAGACGGCCATCCTTCTCAGACTGGCTGTTGCCGCCGACCTGTGATCCACCATGTTCCTTCTGGGTGCCCTCATCTGTACTTCTCTTGGCCAAAGGGGGGGTGGTCCCTGCGTGGAGGTGGTCACTCACCCACCCAGCGTGGTCCGAGAGAGCTCAGGCAGTGTGCGACCACAGGCGAGGTTGTCTAGCCAGCCGTAGTAGGAGCGAGGGGCTGCAGCAGAGCGGGCCCCGAATCCGTGCCACCTTTAGGTGATGTGGGGAGGGGTGCTGCAGAGCAGGAGATGAGACTTGGTGCCTTGGGTTCCAGAGGCCCAGAGAAGCAGCTGCACTGCCCCTCCCCTGCCCAGAGCACGGTGGGGGTACATCAGCACCTGGGGGAGTCAGGGAGGGGCAGCACAGGTGCACATGGAACCCCCCTTTCTGGGAATGATGCCCTCCCTCCCTCCCTCATGTCCTTTCTCCAGGCCAAGTGGTGGATGTGGAGCAGGGCATCACCTGTGAGAACATCCCCATCATCACGCCCACGGGAGAGGTGGTGGTGGCCAGCCTCAACATCAGGGTAGGTAGAGGCAGGGAGGGCAAGTGCTGCCTGGGTAGGGCTGCGTGCTGGGGGCAGGTGGGGGGCCCGGGCACCTGCCTTTTGTGTTTCCAAGCCCCAGCGCTTGGCATCGGGACAGGCAGGTCTGCCTGTGCTTTCCGTAGCCACCGTCTCCAGATCTATGTGGCAGATGGGCCAAAGTCAAGGTGAGAGACCAACATGTCTCTGACTTAGCTCTGCGGCAGTGGAGTCAGAGCTGATAAAAGAGCCTAGCGATTACCAGGTGTGAAAACGGTGTGTTGGCAGCTGAGTCTGACCTCCTTGTCTAACTTCACAAGGGGGGAGAAGAATCATTATCAGCATCAACAGCCCCAGGCTGATTGCTATGAGGTGGAGGTCAGACATACCTCCTCTCACCAGCCCTTTTTACCAATTCTGACACCAACCATCCCTCCCATGGCACTCTCTACTTCTCTGCTGGGTTTAATAGCTCACAGACGATACTTACAGTTATGGGGTTTATTAGGGAAGCAACAGTTATAATTCAGGATACAGTTCTTCGATCAGGACCACCTCTTCTCAGCCGTGCCCGTAGGCAGGCCTCTGTCTGGCCCTCGGGCTCTTAGCCCATTGGCCCCTCTGCCTGGCCTCTGCCCTCCTCAGGCAAGTGTTCCAAAGCTCTTCAGCTCCATGGATAAATGCCTACATGTCAGTCTCCTGGTTCTGCTGCCTCTGCTGCCGCCATTTCTCTGCCGCTGCTTCTCGCCATCTCTCGCCATCTCTGGGGTTACAGCTCTCTCTCTCTGTTTCCTGGGTCTAGGAGATTCTCAGTGTAGGGATCCTGGGTCCAAAGGACACGCTCCACTCCTGGCTCTTCTTTCTTGGTGGTAGTGAGGTCTTCCTCTGTCCGCCTCTGGAATGGCTCATTTTAAGCCTAGCGGGATGACAAAACCGACCAATCCCCTTGTTAGAGTTCCGTACACCTTATTTGCGTTATTAGCAAGCTATCCAATCCCCTTGGTAGGCCACAAGCACCTTATTTGCATAGTCCTACCGAGTCATTTGGTGGGAGTCACAGGACCATGGCAAGAAAGGACATATAAAAGCAATCTATCGCTCTGTACTAAGATTGGCCAAGGGTCACCCCACCCCTCGCAGAAGCCCAGGGCTTGGGAGCTCTGGGTCAGCTCCAGGTGGTGGTGGAAGAGATGGCTGCTCTGCTGCCTGGGTGGCCAGCTTGGGGGCTCAGCCTACCTGCTTTGAGAAGGCCCCATCTAGGGCCCATGTGCTGGGCCAGCAGCTGGACTCCTGGGGAGGACTCTTAAGCACAAGATGGCTTTCCATGGAACGGCATCCCTGGCCAGCTAAGCCATCCACTTGGGGCCCCAGCTAGGGGTCTGGGCAGGGTGGGGGCGCAGTGGGGTGAGGGTGGAGCCAGGGAGGCAGGGGAGGAGCCAGAGGGAGTCATTCATTCTGTTCTTCAGCCAGTATTCCCTGAGCTCCCCCTTGGTGCCAGCCCCCAGGCTGGGCACTAGAAACCAGCGAGGGTGACGGTGACTTTCTCGGGGACACACCATTCAGAACATGGTGTATGCTGGCACTGTGCTCTCTGGTACCTGTCAGGGCCTTGAGGACAGGCCAGCGCTTGTCCATTTCTCTCCCTTCTGGGATACACCCGGGGTCCCTGCAGCCCCTTACCAAGAGCTGCAGAATGGCCCACTGCCTGCCCCGGCAATGGAGCTTTGTGGGGGTGGCGGGGGTGGGGGGTGAGAGGAGGACCGCTGTCCCCGCAGGTGGAGGAGGGCATGCACCTGCTCATCACGGGCCCCAATGGCTGTGGCAAAAGCTCCCTGTTCCGGATCCTGGGTGGGCTGTGGCCAGCCTATGGCGGCGTGCTCTACAAACCCCCGCCTCAGCGCATGTTCTACATCCCGCAGAGGTGAGGGGCGGTGGGGGGCTGGCCGGGCAGGCTGGGGGAAGGCCAGGGAAGCAGAGCCACTCTGCCCTCGTACCACCTTCTACTTGGTGGAGGCCGAGGTGGACTACAGCAGACACCCAGCGAGTGACAGAAAGCTGGAGCCTCGGGAGAGAACGGCAGGATGTGTCCCGAGTCGAGCTGCGCCCCGGTGCCTCCTCCCTCCAGCCTCTCAGCTCGCTCTCCTGGTGGTTTCAGATGTGTGCCGTGTGCATGCGCATGCGTGTACATGTCAGGCATCTGTGTGTGCACGTGTGTGTGAGCGTGTGTGCACGTGCATCTGGTGGGCGCGTGAGTTGGGTGTGGCGTGCTTGTGTGCATGCATGCATGTGTGGTGTGTGTGTGGTGTGTATGCATGTGTGTGTGACGCGTGCATGTGAGCTGTGTGTGGTGTGCATGCATGTGTGTGGTGTGCATGTGATGTGTGAGTGCGTGCGTGCACGTGTAGCATGTGTGTGGTGTGTGTGCATGTGTCTGGTGTACATTTGGTGTGTGCACGTGTGCGTGTGTGTGTGATGTGTGTGCCTGCAATGCACGTGTGTACATGTGGTGTGTATCTGTGTGTGAATGTGCGTGTCCACCCCCTCAAACACTTTGTGGCAGGTACCTGTGGGCGTTCCAGAAGGCTGTTTGTGGCAGGTGCCCACTCACTTCCGGAGGGTCTGCAGGGAGGGGCCGGCCCTTGCCCGGGTGGACACTCAGCCTTCCCGCAGGCCCTACATGTCGGTGGGCTCACTACGAGACCAGGTGATCTACCCGGACTCCGTGGAGGACATGCGGAGGAAGGGTTACTCGGAGCAGCACCTAGAGGCCATCCTGGACATTGTACATCTCCACCACATCCTGCAACGCGAAGGAGGTAGGCGACCGGGGCAGTGGCGTCAGGGCCACGGAGTGCCCTTCGTCCTGCGACTCAGACGGGACCTGCGGCCACCTGCTCTCACCCCTGGCCTCTCCGTCTTGGCTCTGGTGCATGAAGATCACCCCAATGTCCAGAAGTCCAAAGTGCTCTGTGCTGGGGCAGGGCTGGCCGTGAACAGGTGACCCCAGGTGGGATGGACATGTGCTACAGGAGGGAGAGTGAGAGAGGCCACCCCAGAAACGGCGTCGGGGAGGACAGCACGGCCTGTGTCCCCCGGGCCTCTCCTGTGGCTGAGACAGAACAAGGGGCAGAGGGGCCTGAGAACAAGGCTTGGCTGGCAGGCTGGGGCTGGGCCGCAGAGAGCTGGGGGAACCAGCTGGTGAGCTTGGTGTTCTCCTGGGAAGGGTTGTGGAGGCCGCGGTGGGGCAGCAGTGCCTGGCACGGGGCGCGGTGAGGAGTCAGCGCCGGGTGCTGGAGAGGGGCCGGCATCGACGAATGGGCCTGCAGGGGCTGGGGGCGCAGGGGCAGAGCGTCCCCCAGCTTGGCTGGCATGCGCCTTGGCAGGCCAGTCCCCAAGACCATGGAGGCCGTGGGAGGGAGGGGCAGGCCTGAGGCAAGAGGAATCTGGCCTGGGCCTTACTGCGCTTTGGGGAGCCTGCAGTCCTACGGTGACAGAGGGGGCAGGGCAGCTGCAGGGACAGAAGTGAGGGCAGGTCTGGGCAGCGACTTCTGTTTTCCCTGTACAATCTGAGAGCGGCCTTTCTGGTGTCCTCCTCTGCCCTGGCCTTACCACTTCAGCTCCAGCTGTCATCCTCAGCTGTTCGTGATGGTGCCCCTGAGGGCCCAGGACCAGTGGCCGACCATCGGGACTTATTAGCATTGGGGTCATTGTGATCAACAGACCTCACATAGTGGCTTAAATCATTCACAGATTTATTTCACTGTGATGTCAAAGTCTCGAGAGAGGCAGGCCATGGTTGGTGGGGGTGGCCCTTCTCTGTGAAGGCCTCAGGGTCACTCTGGTGCGTGTGGCCTCCATGCCTGAAGTCACCTCATGGTCCAAGATGGCTGCTGCAGCCATCACATCCATATTCCAGGCAAAGAGTGCGCACCATCTGTCTTTTAAGGAAGGTTCTAGAAGCTGCCACATGTACTTACACCCCATTGGCCAGAATTTAGTCGCATGGTCACACCTCACTGCAAAGCAAGCTGCCTAAACTTCTCTTCCTGTGGGAGGGGAGTGGCTGCCACACGTCCCTGACAGACCATCCCACTCAGCCGCTCACTCGCTCGCTAGACCAGCCTGCGCCAGCCTGGCCTGAGGGCTGGCACCAGGCAGCGAGCACAAGTGTCCAGCTGCAGGCTTTCTATGAAGCTCCAGTCTCTGGCTCCACCCGTGTGGTCGCCCCCGAGTGAGGCCCAGGTCCCCTCCTGCCACCCCACACCTGGGACTGGGTGCTCGCAGATAGCCCTGCCCTGGTAGGAGTGAGCAGGTGGCCTGTGTCCCCAGGTTGGGAGGCCGTGTGTGACTGGAAGGATGTGCTGTCGGGTGGCGAGAAGCAGAGGATCGCCATGGCTCGCATGTTCTACCACAGGTGAGCCGGGGCAGGCAGGTGGGTCCCGGAGTCCCCTTGAGAAGGAAAGCAGCTGTGACTAGCGGCCGGGATGTGCAGAGGCCCGGAGGCTGACTTGGGGCACCCTCCACCCCCCAGGCCCAAGTACGCCCTCCTGGACGAGTGTACCAGCGCTGTCAGCATCGACGTGGAGGGCAAGATCTTCCAGGCAGCCAAGGACGCAGGCATTGCCCTGCTCTCCATCACCCATCGCCCCTCCCTGTGGTAGGTGCCCGCCTGCCGGTGGCGCAGTCCAACCCCACTGCGGTAGGGAGCAAGAGCCCTCCAGTACTGGCCAGGCGGGTAGCCCCCATCTCCCCTGTCTCCCGGCCAGGAAGTACCACACACACTTGCTGCAGTTTGACGGGGAGGGAGGCTGGAAGTTTGAGAAGCTGGACTCGGCGGCCCGCCTGAGCCTGACCGAGGAGAAGCAGCGGCTGGAGCAGCAGCTGGCAGGCATCCCCAAGATGCAGCGACGCCTGCGGGAGCTTTGCCACATCCTGGGCGAGGAGGCGGCCCCCGAGCAGCCCCCGGCCCCCAGCCCCCCAGGCCCTGGGCTCTCCCGGGGTGCCACCACCTGAGGGGTAGCCCCAGCCCTGGGCCTTGGGCCCCCTCCCCTCCCCTGAGCTCTCGGATCCCATGAAGGAAACAGCAGCACCACGCACACACCCCAGCAGCCCCTGCACGCCTCTCCCCTCCTCCCAGGCCAGCGAATCACGCGCCCTTCCCCCAGCCCAGGTCCTTGGGTGATGCAAACGGTGAATGCGTTCGACTGCTAACCAAAAGGTTGGAGGTTCAAGTCCACCCAGAGGTGCCTTGGAAGAAAGGCCTGGCAATCTACTTCTGAAAAAATCAGCCATTGCAACCCTATGGAGCACAGTTCTACTCTGACACACACGGGGTCGCCATGAGTCGATCACTGTGACCTGTTAGTGTAGTTGAGTCCGTTACTTTTCCTCAGTGGGGGGCCCACAGTCCTGCCCCCACCCCGGTACTGGTGAGCGGGCAGGGATGAGCAGGGATCTCCCCGCAGTGCCCAGCTCCCCAGCGCCAGCCCAAGTCTGTGCCGGGCCTGAGACGCAAGTCCCCGTTCTAGCCACCCCTTTGTCCCTTGAAGACCGTGTCCCGTCCCTTTATTGCCGCCACGCGGTGTGCCCGGCAGTGGCTCCAGCGCCGTGGGCGCCCTCCTGCCCCAGAAACAGCTGCCCGGGACCACGGACGGGCGGATGGAGCGGGCGGGCCTGCGCTGCCTCGCGGAGCCCTTCGGGGAAAAGACTGCCTAGCGTTGGCTGATGGGCGAGACGAGAACGGGGGAGCTCTGTCCTTCTCGGTCCCTAGCCTGCCTTCTCTCGTGCCCAAACCTAACTTATTGGATCCTCTGTTTATATCTGTCCTGATGGCCGCGTGAGCCTCCTGCCAGTGGGGGAGGCCGGGCGGAGCAGCAGCCTCCCACCCGGTGCCAAGCCGCAGCCCCCGGCGCCGCCCGCCGCCAGCCTACACTGCCAGCCGCCCGCCCGCCCGCCTGCCCGCCGTGGCTCTGGCTGCCAGGAGCGCGGGCGCCAGCGTCCCCAGCTCAGTGCCAAAGAGGGGTCTGCCGGGGGCACCGTCTGTGCTGAGCCGGCCCTTGCCGGAAGAGGGGGACCCCACCGCCGTGTGCCTTTCCTGGCCCCTCCGCCCTCAGGCCGGGAGCCTCCCGGGGTTCCCTCAGTAAAAACCCACCGTGGAAACTGCAGTCTGGCCTCCCCGCCTGGGACTGCTGAGTACTGGAGGGAGGGAAGGGCAGCGGGGTGCCTCTGGGGAAAGAAAGGGGGAGTTGGGGAGGGGGTGGGACTCACCCCCAAGGCCCTCCGGGGAGAGAACGGTCCCTCCCCTGCCCTACCGCCCAGAGACACAGGCGGTGTGGTCTTGGCCCAGGACTCCCCAACGGCACGAGGCTCTTGGGTTGCACGAGGCAAGGGCAGGTGGATTCGGCAACAACATTTCACAAAAATGTGGCCTGAGCACAGGTAGGAGGGAGGCTGGGAGGAGGGGAGCAGGGCCGGGCCCCTGTGGAGGACAGAGTCTGTCCCAGCCGGCCAGGGGGGGCCAGGGAGGGAAGGCTGTCTCAGCTGAGACCTGAAGGTGGGGAGGGAGGAGCCGTTCTAGCACTTCTGGAAGAGGGAGCAGCTTGTGCAAAGGTGCAGGGGGAGGAAGGGCTGGGACCCGTGGGCCTCGTAGGCCTCAAGGCAGCGCGAGCCGCCAAGGGGTTTTCAGCGTGACGGAAGACAGCGTTGGCTTTATGCTTAATGCAGGTTGCGGCTGCTGCGTAGAGGGCTGTCTGGAGGGAGCGGACAGCAACCTCTTCACCCTTGGGCGGTGCTGGTGGGAATGGAAAACGGGCAGCCGCTGTGGAAAATAGTGTCGCGGTTCCTCAAAGGTTAAACAGAGAGAGTTACCGCGCACTGACCCAGCCATTCCACTCCTGGCTGTAGACCCAAAGACCTGAAGGCAGGGACTCAGACAGGGACTTGTCCCCCAGCGTCCATAGCAGCAGTATTCACGATAGACAAAAGGTGGAAAGAACCTAAATGCCCATCCACAGATGGCGGATAAACAAAATGTGGTCCATCCATACATCCCACGGGATATTATGCGGTATGAAAGAGAAATGAGTCCCCACACGTCACAACGTGGATGGAGCGTGAAAATGTTACCTGGAGGGAGAAAAGTCAACACAAAAGGGCACGTACTGTATGCTCTCACTGAGACGGAAAGCTCAGCAGAAGTCCGGAATACGCAGGGATCAGCGTTCCTTCGTGGTTACCGGGCCAGGGGGTCGGCACTCGGGGGGCACCGAGTTTCTGCTTGAAAAGGTTGGAAATGGGTAGCGGTGGTGGCTGCGCGGCGCAGTGACGGTGCGAAATGCCAGTGAACTGTGCACTGAAATGGTGAGCTTTGTCACGTGACTGTCCCCTCCGTGAATGCAGAGAGAAGTGAGCGAGGACCCTGCCTGCAGCAGCTGACATCTACCAGAGACAGTGGTGACGGCGGGGAGGGGGCAGGTGCAACAGGGTAGAAGGAAGTCCACGGGACCGGACCGACGGGCAGGCTCTGGGGAGAGGGGAAGGAGAGAGCGTCAAGGTGGCCCCTGGGCTTGGCTGACTGAGCGGGTGGGCACAGCGCCCTTGGCTGAGAGAGGGAGCGCCGGAGGAGGAGGAGGACGGCTCTGGGAGAAGGTGAGGCGGGTGAGTGAGGCCAGGCGGCCTCCACGAGACAATGAGGAGGCACTGGGAGCCCTGGGGGAGCCCTCTAGCCTGGAGGTGCTCTAAGGGGACATGGGCCGGCAGAGTCAAGGTGGTGGGTGAAGCAGCGGTGTAGACGGCCTGGGGTGGAGGCCCGCGGCCTCTCACTGGGCGAACGGGGGATTGTTGTTGTTGCCATCAGCTGCCGTCGAGTCGGTTCCGACTCATGGTGACCCTGTGCGCAACAGAAGGAAACACTGCCTGGTCTTTGGTCATCTTCCCAGTCGTCGGTTGGCTCGTGAGTCCATTGTGGTGGCCACTGTGTCTGTTAAGTGCCTTCCAACCTACTGTATCAGACAATGTTCTGTCGTAATCCACAGGGTTTCATTGACTAATTTTCGGAAGCAGATCACCAGGCCTTTCTTCATCATCTTAGTCTGCAAGCTCTGCTGAAACCTGTCCACCATGGATGAAGTAGTGGCCTGGGGAGGAGGCACTCAGCCTCTCACTTGGTAAATGGGGGATGCACTGAGTTATATCCACATTTTGAGGTTAGGATTGGTTCCTGATCCCAGGAAAGGTAGCAGATCCGGAGGCTGGGAGTTGTTCCTACATCTCTTCCACAGACCGTGTAAATCATGTATACCTGATAAGAAGTCCCTTTCTGAAACTTAAATGGCAAGAATGGTTCTGTGGTCTGCCAGCAAACCCTAACTGATACAGATGGAAGCAGACCTACTATTGTTAGCTGCCGTCAAGTTGGCCCCCAACTCATGCACAACGGAATGAAACACTGCCCAGTCCTGCACCATTCCCATAATTGCTTGTGGATCGGATTGTTGTGATCCATAAGGTTTTCATGGGCTGACTTTCGGAAATAGATCGCCAGGTCTTTCTTCCTAGTCCGTCCTAGTCTGGAAGCTCTGCTGAAACCTGATCAGCATCATAGCAAGATGCAAGCCTCCACAGATGAATGGTGGCTGTGCTTGAGGTACATAGCCCAAGAATCAAACCTGGGTCTCCCACATGGAAGGCAAGAATTTTACCACTGAACCATCAATGCCCTCTAAGTCATGTATACCTGGTACTAAATCCCTTTCTGAAACTTAAATAGCAAGAGTAGTTCTGTGGTCTGCTTCCAAGCCCTAGTTGATACAGATGGAAAGAGACATACCGGGCAAGTACTGGCCACTACAAAATGCCAAAAGAAACAATCCACTCAGAAACATTAACCATACTGGGCTTGGGTGCACCTACCTAACGACAGAGCCTCACATGCGGATAAAACAAAAATGTAGCAGTGAAAGGGAAAATTAATAAGGTCACCAGTACAATGGGAGACTTTACCATACTTCTCACAAGAATCAATGGCTCAAGCAGACAAAATTAGTAGGAATGTAGAAAAATGGAACAAGCTTGATTTAACAGACATCCAAGAGGTAGAGATTACACATTCTTTTCAGGTTCACATTGAACATTTACTAAAACTCACCAAGTTCTAGGTCACAAAACAACCTGTATTATGCAGATGACACAACCTTGCTTGCTGAAAGTGAAGAGGACTTGAAGCACTC